GAGTCTGACGGCCTCGTCGAGCCCGACGGACGAGCGCGTTGGGTTTGGTCGCTCTCGAAGAGTCAAACGGACGGCTGCCGCGCGCCGCCGTGTGTTCGCGACAGTTTGGATGACAGTCGTCATCACAACCGTCCTGTTATCTCGCGGACGATGGTGTCGAATCTGATCAGACTCGGCCAGGCTCGAGCGCACCATGCAGGGCGTGAGGCCCGGCGGCCGCGGTGCGTCATCGGCAGCGGGCTGATGATGGTCCACAGCGTTTGTCACAGCTGGGTCTCTGGCGTCACCGACAGCACGCCGCTGGCGGCGGCGGCGGCAGCATCGGCGCGAGGCAGCGCGGTGTCCGTGTGGCTGTCGGCGCACAGCTGGGTCAGCAGCTGGTTCATCAATCAGGTCATGCTTGGTCAGCGATACGGTGTCAGTGTGACTGTCGGCGCGCAGCTGGGTCAGCAGCTGGTCCCCCAGGTCATGTTGGGCCAGCGGCGTCGGGCCGGTAGTAGCGGTCAATTACTTGGTTTTTCCTGGTCTAGTCAATCCAGGTCGGGACGAACGGCAAGGGTTCAATAACAGTGCAAGTTGATTTTGATAACACAAGCTGTTGAATAAGTAGACTGCTACGGTTGGTATCACAAGCTGGCGTTAAGCCAACTGAAGGACTGCATTCCGTGGATGCGGATAAATACGGCTTCGAACAATACATGATCTGGACGTGGAGCGGAACACCGGGAGGAGAAAGCTGAATTGGCTTTGGGTGACTTTCGGTGGTCGGCTCCAGCTGTCCGCGTTGACGGTGATTGCTGGTGATTGCTGTGTGACCCGCGACGTGCAGGTCTCCCACGCGGGCGCGGCCGCACCGTGCGGCCGTGTTCAGCTCCCCGGTTGGTGGGGTTTGACCTAAAAATAAGTGCCGTTCCGTCCCAAAGCCGAGCAAATCTCCGTCTCAGGTCGGACGGGTCTCTGCATCAGGTCGAACGTGTCTCTGTCTCAGGTGGGACGCGTCTCTGTCTCAGGTCGGACGCGTCTCTGTCTTAAGTCGGACGTATTCGATAGGAGCGAGCAGCATAACATGCTGTCCGTGCGGAAATCATTGCGCGGATCGTGATAAAATGTGTGCAGCCACTTTGTTAAACTTGTTTACAACTTGTCAAAAAATATGAAATCAAATCATAACAGCAAACACATACCTCTAACACATACAAACACATAACACATACAAACACATATCTTTCGCATGATTGAGCTATAATGTCGATGCCCAAGGTATACAACTGGACACTGTGGAAAGACGACAGCTATTTCCCCTGACACCTATATCTTATCATTTGTCATATTCATATTATCTTATCATTCATGGGTTTGTCACAAAAGGCCTTCGCAACAGCGGAGGGCGGCGCGCCAGCGAACGGCGTACATACCACCAAGGTCGCGGTGTCGAGCGCAGCCCGAGGTGGAAGACGCACTGTGGAACTGTACTTTAAACCCTTGGCCAAAATCCGGCACGCACCATAGCTAGTTGACAAGATGTGCAGTTTACAAACCGTGCAACTAGTTGTTGACAAACTGCGAAAACATGCGGATGACACCGTAGCATCATGTGGTTGCACCGCCTTGGGACGGCATGCACCAGTGGTTCTATTCCTAAGTTCATGTTTGTTCAATGAGTCTTCGAGGCCCCATCGTGTTCAGCTAGGAGTGGCATTCATCACATATATGTATCCCAGTTGAATGGAAAACTCGCACAGATGAACGTAGTACGTAAGCTCTCTTATAACCTCTGCCCAGGGATATTTCGCGAAGACGTTTGCGTGACAGAGAGGTATAGGGTACATGCATGACACCATGTGGTGTTCACTTACTTGTGTTGAAAATTAGTTCAGCTAAACCATTTGTAACGGGCGATCTCACTCGAGCCGGTGCAGGACCGAGCTTTATCAGAGCCATCACAGAGGCCGGGCTCACCAGAGCCGGCGCAGAGGCCAGGCTCATCAGAGCCGGCGCAGAGGCCGAGCTCACCAGAGCCCGCACAGAGGCCGAGCTCACCAGCGCTAGCACAGAGGCCGGGCTCACCAGATCCAGCACAGAGGCTGAGCTCACCAGATCCAGCACAGAGGCCGAGCTCACCAGCGCCAGCACAGAGGCCGGGTTCACCAGATCCAGCACAGAGGCCGGGCTCACCAGAGCCGGCGCAGAGGCCGGGCTCACCAGATCCAGTACAGAGGCCGAGCTCACCAGCGCCAGCACAGAGGCTGGGTTCACCAGATCCAGCACATAGGCCGGGCTCACCAGAGCCGGCGCAGAGGCCGGGCTCACCAGATCCAGTACAGAGGCTGAGCTCACCAGATCCAGCACATAGGCCGGGCTCACCAGAGCCAGCTTTGCGGCCAATTTCACCAGAGCTAGCGACCGGCTGCGGGGCCCGTAGAGACGCCTGGAACTGTTCATTGTGTGCGAAACGTAACTTCACTTCGCGAAATTTTGAGCAGTTATTTAAAAAACGGACATAGTAATAAGGCTCAAGTTCCTAACCGCGGGGACACCGCTAAAAATTTGGGGTGGGTACTTCATCATGGTGGGCATGGCCCCGAAAACAGATATCAAGTTCGTCCTGTGGAACAACAGCTGAGAAGCATGACAAACGCTTTGCACAATCGAAGTGGTGAATGTGAACTCTGTGTGAAATGTGAATGTGAACTTTACAGCGCAAGGAGTTCCCATTGAGCGAATTTGCGCATGGCAACTTCGTATCACAATGACGGGGAACTGTATACGGGGAATTCAAGTGACGGGAACCTAAGATAACGAGGAACTATGCACTGCGTTACGAAACCGCGGGGCCAATTTGAAATATTTTATCATCAGAATATCGATCACTTCAGAAGGTGGCACCGTCAAAAATTCAAGACCTTAAGGTCACCCTAAAATGTTTGTCGCTAAATGAGTCTCGAAGTAACTTTCTAACTTCACGAACATCCCAAACAAAACTGAAGGGCTGATGAGCAGACGAAAATGACGACTACTGCTGTTGAATGACTGGGAATGAAGCGCTGGCTGAAGCTGATTTCTACTGCTGTTGAATGACTGGGAATGAAGCGCTGGCTGAAGCTGATTTAAGGTGTCATTGTTATTAAAGTTTTGGGTCTTCCACAAAGTCTAAACACATACGGCACTGCCAGGGGACCAACATGTGGACTTTCGGGACACTGTCAATCGTTCGAGGGTCTCCACACATCGTCTGTTTTTGTTTTACTTGCTCAAAGTGCTCTTCAGTTCCGTCTGTGGCACCGTATGTTAAGGAGAAGGTGCCGCTTCGGAAGTATGGCGCACATTGTTCCATTTTTCTTGATCATTAAATGGCCTTCGCGGAATAAATAAAATAGCGCGATGCTTTGTCGCTGTGGTCAACCTCCCCTTCCCTTGGACAAATCCCTTTGCGCCCCTAAGCCTTGTCCCGCTCCCTGGTCATTGCTCCCCCCCCCCCCCCTCCGGCGATGTTTCTAAACCCAAGCGAGGATTCAACTTTCGAGTCTTCGCCTTTGGGCCCTTACAGACGCTCGAACAGCTGGAAAATTTTTATGTTGCAGTATTTCTCCTCTCGTGAAATTTAAGTGCACCACTCATGAATTAGCCTCTGACGGACGTTTCCAGCCGCGTTTAGCGCATCCTGTGGGAGTTCTCACATTGTTGGCCAGCACACCGGGCCGTCCGTTACCGCGAGTTACCGAGATGTAACAAGGGGTCCTGCTAATGCGTCGGGGTTCAGTGTTACGCACACTTGCTTCGCCTGCCACACGGTATGGGCATTTGTACATGAAAAACTTCGTTTAGTGTTCACCGCAGAGCAAAGCACAGCACCAGAAAGGAAAAGATGTCTTCACTACAGCTGCATATTATTTTGTTGCTTAGCTCAAACATTATTCAAATTTAACAAATGCGCCTGAACCATAATCACAGATGCTTGGTTTCAGAAATATACCTTGGTTAAGACGCAATGGCAGCTCACATATTCGTCGCCGTGCAAGATTCAGCATGTAACTTAAATGAAAACACTTGAAGGATTCCCAATAAAAGCCACAGAGTCCCATCCTCTTCTTCGTATTCTCCCGGAACCTAGCGCCGAAATGAAACGAGCATTTTCATCGCGCATCCGCACCATACAGCCCAAGCACATGTAATTCCCGATTTTGAGTTTCCTCATTGCTCGACGGCCGGCCTCGGCGCCCCGTACCGGCGCGGCCCACCGCCAACACCGCCGCCTACTGTCAGGTCTCCGAATCAGCTGGCATTGGTGCCGTGTGCAGCCAGGCTCGCGCCATGTACGAAGGGCGGCGCCCGTCTAGCGTTCACAACGCGTGCACAATGCCAACGGAACGGCCACGCTGGCACTGCAATGCGGAGGGTGCAAATCTTTACACGTGATCGACCGATTGGCATAACCAGATGCACAAAAACGCACCAGGAAACGTCTTTGCGGATCTAGAATAGGGCTCTCATATAAAAAGGATCGGGCTAAGCAACTGAGAGGAGCGACTCGGGCGCTAAATGGTGGCTAAGGGGGCTCAAGGCTGCGGGCCCATTTGAGCTTATGCCGTTTTTGACGGCATTCTGGCCAACCTAGTCCATTGCTTCCAGCAAAGCGCACATTGCACAGCGGCTATGCAATGTGAGCAGGTACATCAGTTCCAAAAGATCGCGAATATATGGAAGTGCCATTCACAGTGACGTCACAAAAATGAAAGAACCACTACCTCACGAGTTTTCTTATGCAATATAAGATAATTGTATAGAACATAGCAAAAAAGCGAAATATCGTAATTTAAAGGTGGCATTTAGCACCTTTAAAGCCGTTTGAGCGACAACCTGCACTTGAAATTCTCAAATACGCGCAAGAAGACTTTTAGTCAGCGTTTTAAATTCATATTACCCAAATTATATGACTGACCTTGTGCGAATACAGCGCGCATCCGGCCGACGTGACGTCAGTCCTTTCTCGTGCGGAGACCGTACGTGAGGCGCGCAGGGCGGATTCCCCGGCCCCTACCGATTTTTCCGGGTAAGTTGTGGGGGTATGCGCCCCCTTCATTGTTTTCCGTTTTGAGAATGCAAGAATCTCACACCGTTTGCTGTCCTTCCGTAGCTCTTCTGACCAAAAGTGGAAGAGATTATCAAAAGATACAATTATGGCGCGTTTCTAGGATGTCATGCTTTGTTGAGTATGAACATTGTGCATGCATGTCGGTCTTGTTTGACATCGTCATTTAATAATTGTCTCCAAATTTGTTTTGTTCTGGATGAAAGGAGCCATGTGCTTGTTTGCTTTTCATGTTTGCACTAAGCCCTTTCCAGATGTTTTCCTATGGTGCCATGCAGCTGTTCTGGCTTGGTGGATGAATGGTGACTCATCAACCTGGTCACATGAATGACCTCATTCATTCCAAAAACATCAGTTCTGGTATTTTAGGCTGATATATCCTGGAACCCTGTTCTCTAAATGTTGGTGCAGGTAATGCAGATGTTTTTATTCTTTAATCAAGGAAACTATAGAAAGTATGTTTGGAATGCAACCAGCATATTGCTTTTTTATTGTGTTGCTTCATGGAAACTGTTTGTTAATGTCACTACCAAACATCAGCATCTCTTCTTCATCTTTTCTTCTGAATTTGTAATTGCCTCATTCTTTCTGAACATTGGACACTTCTGAAACATAAATTAATGTTGATACAGATTTACATGCATGAATCAAAACTAGCAGTATTTCATGAGCTATATTTAAGGAGTGGTCTATACATATGTGCAAACTAATGGAATGCCAGCACTGCCTAGTGAGACTGAACTGGCTAACTTTTTTTGTAGCTCTGCAATTTACATATGGTGCACACTGGAATTTGAGTTCATATTGAATGGTGTTCCTAAGTTATGAAATTGTATTTTCAATATATTTTCAACTGGCGTAGGTATGTAGCTATGCTTCATCTCATCTGGCATTCTCACTTTATACTTTACTCACGCCAGGCTTTGGTCCCAGACTCCCAATACAAAATTCTGGCCTTGCTTGTGCTGAGGTATTGGACAAAACAACATGTGCGTGGATCCCAAGGTTGGATCTAAGATGCAATAGGGTTCCATATATATGGGAATGTACAATCTTATCTTTATCTTATTTTTGGCTCCAAGTTTATGTCTGGAAAACACTCCCATATTTTTCAGCTTAAGTCATGGCAACTTGCTAATTTGCCATCATATGAAAGTCTTGAACACATTTTCTGGAACACAAATTACACACATGCTGCATGCTATTTAAACTTCCAGCATCCCACTGATCTATGAGCTGAGAGATGATGATGGTAGCTTGGCAATCAGGCCACATGCATATTTTAACAAAATGGTGCTCAAGAAGTTTCATTATACAGCATATACAGCAAATTGCTGAAGTTTAGTTCTGTCAACTGTCAACAAACAGCTATCTAACAGAGAGGTCTGCATGTCATTTACTCACTGTGTTTGTAGCATAATGCTTAGCAAGTAGTATAATGAGTGTGGAGTAGTTTCTGTACCCAATGTGGTCATAAAACTTCAGATATTTTTGTCATGATAAGCTTTTGTGAGCATTTTCAAAGAATGGGGAAGTTTTTGGGTGCTGTAATTGCAAATTTAAATGAAGTTTGAAGGTGGCCGTAGAAGAAATTTTTAATTTGCTTTTTGAAAACATGGTTTTTTGACTCAGTTTTTTTTTGCCAAGGGAAGTGAATTGTGTTGCCTTATCATGATTTATTTTGCTACACTTTTACTGACCACAGAAGCCTGCAAATCAATCTTATGCACCTTTATGTCAAACCCCAGCAGGTTAACTTCATGGACAATTGGTTAGATGTGGTTGGGAGGGGTCTGTGCCCCATAAACTTTGAAACGGGCTTAAACTGCTCCACTAGAAATTGTTCCTAATGTTATAATCTAGTGTGTGACAGATGTTTTTTTTTATCTGATCCTCAAAAAGTGAAGCTTGATGTAAATGGGTGGTTGTCTAAGTATGCAAACAGGTGCGAAGGGTATTTGAAAATGACATTTAAGCCAGGTTTGTTCCTTTAAAAAAAATAGATCTTCACTCTTAGCACAAAGAATATGATTGCAGAATGAATGGGTTTGTAAGGCTGGTCTAGGAGCCACAGTGTGTTTGCATCACCTCCAATTGGCCTTTTTACAATGCCAGTGGAGGTCATTTGCCCCACTATTGACTTCATCATTTCAGTGCTTTATCTTAAATTCTACTGCTGCATTTGTCGACACTGAATTGTAGATGGCAACCTTGATCTGGCAAAAGTGCATGCTCTGGTAGGATGCCTATCCAATCATCCATAAAAGCCCCAAGGATGTTCCTGTGTGGGATAAGGCTCGTCTCGAGAGGTCTCTCACAATTGCCACATTATTTCCACTCCACTCACTGCTCGATCATGCCATGCTCTGCGTAGCCAGTGCTAGCTGAAAGGGCTCTAATCACAGCCAAACCTTATAGATGGCCGTGACATTTTGGCGCACATGTATCCGTGACGCGCGTCAGGTCCTGCCAAAGGCGCAGATGCCGCCTGCGTAGCCTCGTCCAGCAGCCTCAGTGTGCACACCAGGTATAAGGGTGACTTGTGATGTGCAGTCGATAGCTGTGTGATGCCCAGTGATACAGAGAATCACCAACTCTCTGCATCAGTCACCAAACAGGCTCCGTTACCAACTCGACCAGTTGACGTGATTGACGGAGTTGATGCCGGCCAACGGCTGCGGACGCACACCGTCCCAGCCCTGCAATCGTCATCAGACAATGGCTTCTTGACGGGTCTCCTCAGCAGAACCTGCGAGCATCGTCAGAGGAATGGCTCCCGGCTGATAGCCCAGTCTTCATTCATTTGGGTAACGGGTCCGACTATGCGTTGGACCGACGGAGCGAAAGCTCAAGCGGATGGATGCCGCAGTATACATTTTATTAAATTTGTATTGCAATATAAGCGACTACACAGTCTCGAACCAAACAGCCGTGCAGTGACTCGCGTCAAGCTTCACAAGTGCCTGCTTCGTTTGAGATGAAGTCGCCCTCATTGTGAGAACGGCGCCAACAAGTGTCTTGCTGCGTCCAGCTACTTTCGGAGCGTGGGCACCCTCTTTCACATTATAGTCGGCCATTTGTCCAGCGGGTACATACTGAGCCATTTCCTCGGGTAATGCTCGCTGATCCCGTTGAGGAGACCCGTTAAGAAGCGGTAGCTACAACTGTTCTATGCAGATATCAGGCGTGACGAGGTGCGGCCGCACCAGCTGCCCAACGTCCGCTTCGATACCAACAACCACATAGATCGATGTGTTACTATGAAGAGTTTGTAAGGAAGCCGCCACGGACTGCGTCACTGGGTCACTGGGCGTCGCAGAGCTATACAGTGCGGGTCACACGTTACCCCGTACCCGGCGCGTGCACAGGCCGTGGGGTATGGCTCGTCACACAGGCCGTAAAGTGTTGAGTGCAGCTGGTGACGGCGACGTTTACAGTGGTGGGACGGGACACTCGCCATGGTTGCGTATGCGCAAGAGTGCGATGCCGGTGAACATTCCCGTGATTGATGTGTTGCCGTTGGGGCCCGCGCGGCGCTTGTCGTGCGGTGTTGACGTGACCGACGTTGTTTGGTCGGCATTGCCAAGCTGCCGCCACTTTCCCACGTGGGATTGGCCTTTACGATTTCTAATGGATTCACACTTGGCGACTGGTTCGTTTTCAACACTGCCATCTTTAGAAAAGGCTCGGTTGGAGGTGACCCGATCATACCACGGCTGCTAGGTGTTTTTTTTTCTGGGACCACCCATTTTTATATTAGGGTCGAAATGCTGGTGTAACCTGTAGTGTGTTTGACAGAAACAAAGCTAGTCAAGGGTTTTTTAGTACAGCGTCCATGTCTACTTTTCTAACTCGAGCAAAGTTTGTGTTTATCCAGCTCCCTGTTCAGGTCCACTTGACCGTCAGCCGGGTGTTAGGTATTCTACAATTCATATGCTTTGATGGGGTAGATGTAATGGACGCCGCAACAGTTCGGGACACAAACCTCGTCACCCACCTCCAACTGATTGCCCATTGAATTAACCTTTCTGTGTTCCGTTTATGCACGTAAATAACTGATCTGCTGTCTTCAGCTGCTGGGGTGCCACACCCGTTGCACAGCGTGCTCGTCTGCTCAACACATTCGCTGCGAGCGGGTGCCTAAAGATCCTTATTGGAAGAGTAGGGAAACGGCATGGAAATGCATGATAAAGGCATACAAATCACCTCCGTTGTCAAATAGGCCACGGACAACCCGAAGAAAACGCTCCTTTTGGAAACATTTGGAAAGGTTTCGTGCTCAAGTTTAAGATTTTAGCGAAAAGTATGCAGACGCGCTCTCGAAAGCGGCCGGTGGCCACCTGAACCTTCTGTCTTAAAGTCTGAAATAGTTGATGTGAGGTTGTAATGACATCGCCTGGTAACCCACTATTCACTTTATTTTTACAACCCAAACTAATGGGACGGGTCATGGAAGATGCGGGAACCTTTTTAAGTATCGAGTTTTAAGTCCAAGCATTTTGATTAGTTGGAATCTCATGTTCAGTGCTCATGCTAATCAGAAGGTGGTTGCGTGAGGCCTGACACCCACCGTACGATGACGCAGTTCTTTATCAACGGCAGAATCGTGCAACGAAAGCAGGCAGGCGACTTTTCATGTGACCGGCAAAGCGATGCTCTCGCCTCATGTTGCGTTTTGAAAGAGATACACATTTGATATGCATCCCAACACATTGTGTAACGGTGCCAGCTCAGGCTGCTTATAGCTGCCCCAATTATTTGTTAGCGCAATCGACGTAGTGACAGAAATCGGGCAAACTGGATCTATTCTTTCATATATCAGTGTGCTTGGTCGTGGGGGTCATTGGGAACGGAGATTAGAAGGTTTAAATTTTTTAATTTAGCCATGAACTTTGGTTTCTTGCGAGTCACTGTTCATGTGCACGAGCCTGTCCGCATGCTCCGCTTGCAGAACCATGCCGTCTGAGTCGTCCAGGAAGCGGCAGGCTGCCAAGAAGGACGCTGCCAAGAAGAAGGGCGCTCCCAAAAGCAAGAAACCAGAGGCCGCCGAGGTGTCCAACGGCAACGACTCTCAGCAAAACGGAGCGCAGAATGGAACGTCCACCAATGGCGAGGTCAAGGCCATGACGGACGAAGGTGAGCCAGGGACTGGAGGACTGCGCGAGACGCTCGCTCCATGTGTGTGTGGTTTGGTGTGTGACATGCCTGACGGAGGGCGTTGTCATGTATCGTTCGTTGGCGGTTGTCTCGATGGGCCCGTGGCCCATGTCTCCATGTCGCCGACAGGTTGGACAGCGGAGGACGTGTTGCTTGACCCGTGTCTCCGGCTCCGTCTGACCGCACCGCCAGCGTCTTGTCGCTACACCCTGTGCCGTACTGGCGGCCGCTGACGCCTCGTGCTGGCACCGCCCGCAGAGAAGCTGTGCGCCCAGCTGGAGGCGGAGCTGGCCATGGCGGCCGAGGCGCGCGCCTGCACGGGCGTCATGGGCGTCCACCCGCGCAGCCGCGACATCAAGGTGTCGGGCCTGTCCATGAGCTTCTACGGCTCCGAGCTGCTGCAGGACACGCACCTGGAGCTCAACTGTGGCCGCCGATACGGCCTGATCGGCGCCAACGGCAGCGGTGAGCGCGCCGGCCCCGTGCCGGCAGCGGCCCCCGCCACGGTCCGGTCAGGCTCTTCGCTCTCGGCGGCCGTGACAAGGATGACGCAGTCTTGGTGTCGAGGTGGCGATTTGTTGTGTTGTAAATGTGAAAGTGCGCGGCTTCAGACGGCAGGCTTGCGCGGTGGAACGTCCGCAGGCTCTCACGGCTGTGCGGGCGTTCCGTTAAGCCCAGACTCCATTCTGCGCCGCCCGTGAGCCGCCGCCCCCCCCCCCCCCGGATCCAGTAACGGTCACGCCGGACCGGCGCCTGACCTCGGCTTGCTCTGCCCTCAGGCAAGTCGTCGCTGCTGCACGCGATCTCCAACCGCGAGATCCCCATCCAGGACATGGTGGATGTGTTCCTGCTGGCGCGCGAGATGCCGGCCTCGGAGAAGACGGCGCTGCAGTGCGTGATGGAGGTGGACCAGGAGCGCGTGCGGCTGGAGCGGCTGGCCGAGGAGCTGGCCCACTGTCCGGACGACGAGAGCCAGGAGGAGCTGATGGACGTGTACGAGCGGCTGGACGAGCTGGGCGCCGACACGGCCGCCGCCAAGGCCGGCTACATCCTGCACGGTCTCGGCTTCACCACGGTCAGTGGAGCATGCGGGCGCGGCGGACGGCCGTCTGCCGTGTGGTGGCCGGCGACTGGGGGCTCTGCCTGCCGCAGCTGCGTGCAGCCCATGGCGTGGCATGTGGGAATTCGAGGCTGCAATGAGGTCGGAGTTTTGGTTTTAGCACCCGAGAGTGATAAGAGCAAAGGACAAGGTTTGGAACACCAGTGGAGGCAAAAGTAGAAATGCATATTGGCATTCGAAAACAAATTACACGCTGACAGGTTAGTGCCATGTGAGAGGCTGAACCTTGTTTTCAGAGCAAACATGACTTGCATCACCCAAATCGCAAAGCAACTACAAGCCATGCCTACGAACGGCTTCGTCGTCTCATGATGCCTATGCACCATGCCCCGGCGCTGTAACACATGCACAGGTCATTCCCAAACTAAGTTTTATCACGCTCCTCGACATACATGTAATCAACTATTCCTCTGTCTGAGTTCAGGCTTGAGAAGGACTGCACCAGTATCCAGAAACAATGGGTGAGATACAACGATTGTACTCAGCTTCGGACGGATTGTTGACGAGAAGGTGACTACTGCAGCTGAAATGTTTCTTATCCTGCGCGTATTTACTGCCGCCCTTGTGGCCTAGGAAAAGATGCTGAGACCGTTATCCAGTGGCACTGGATGATGGTTCAGGTACGGGTGCGTTGTTTGGCCCCAAAGGAAAGGCCATCTGGCAGGTGTTGAGCGACGGCCAGCACACAGGTCCGGCTGGCCGTGCGGTGACGTTGCCCGACTCGAAAAATCCTGCGCAGGCCTATGTGGCGATAGTGCTGAGGGAAAGTTGCGTTATGAAGATGGTGATTCACCGCTGGTAGTGGGTTGGGGTCGTGCAGCAAGATTGACTAAGCCGCTACTGCGAATCCGGGGCCACCCGTGCAGGCCATTCAGGAAAAAGTTCCCTGTGCCCCCGCCGGAAAAGTATGCTCACTGGTGATGAACAAACGGTGCAGAATCGGTGTTTAGAATGGAATTAAAATATAATGGAATGCGGTGAACGCATTCGTGAAAAGTTCGAAATCAAGAGGCTGTGTTATGGAATGCTAATGTCCCAGAACATCCTCGCAATAGCTCAATTTTTTTGTTTAAGTTCCCCGGGTACTGACTGCCTGGTGAGTTTACTTCGGTGTAAAATTGCGTTTATGTTGAATTGCAGATGGAGCGAGTAGTGACTGCGGCGAAAGCGGTTGAAGCGTCCAGAGGTAGCCTTCTCGGGGCGCACATTCCACGCATTGCGTGCTACGGGAGCCAGATTTCCGCTCCCGGGCGTCATGTGATGTTTCGGATGGCAAGGCCTGTCCGCCGCGGCGGCCTGGCACGTCCGCACGTGCGGCAGCCTCTCCAGCTGGCCGACCCGCCCGGGGCGCTGACGTCCGCTCGTGTGACCGGCAGGAGATGCAGCAGCGCCAGTGTAAGGACTTCTCGGGCGGCTGGCGCATGCGCGTCGCCCTGGCGCGTGCTCTGTTCGTGCGGCCGCACCTGCTCATGCTGGACGAGCCCACTAACCACCTGGACCTGAACGCGTGCGTCTGGCTCGAGGAGGAGCTCAAGACGTACAAGCGCATCCTGGTGGTCATCAGCCACTCGCAGGACTTCCTCAACGGTGAGTCGGTGGCGGCGCCGCCGGCCAGTGGCTCGGTGAACGTTTTCGCGGGTTGACCTCCACGGTACAGCGGGCTGGGACACCGGCGGCCGGCGGCTCGGGAGGGAGTTGAGCGTTCCCAGGGCGTCAGTCGGAGCAGTCGTGCAGCGGGCGCGAACCGCCGCCAGGTGGCGGAGTGAGAATGGCGCCATCTGTCGGATGGGCGTTAGTGCCCGGTTGACAGTGATATGCTCTCTAGATGTTCATTGCAGAGCGTTTTGCGGGGTGTCGTCTTCTTCATTTTTATTTTCGGCGTACGCATGCTGGCTTCGCGTTAGTTTGTCCTATTATTTCGGTGTCATATCTTTGATAGTATGCTCGCACGGTATACTTGAACTCCGAAATCTTGTGGCACTGGGACCACGGAAGAAGTGCAACAGTAAGATATCGTGCAGGGCTTTAGGTCGTCTACTTCTTTGGCTCTGTCCTGGTTTCTGCCGCCAATGTCATAAAATACATGGTATCCTCAATATCGTCTTCGTCTGCACTCGATGTTGAGCAACTTGACATACACATTTAATAGTCACTGTTGTAGTTTCAATATTGCCCGTTCGTCATGTATGATGTGACATGCGTGCTGGTCGTTCTCTTTGCAGGTGTGTGTTCGAATATCATCCACCTAGACAATAAGAAACTGCAGTTCTACACGGGTAACTACGACATGTTCGTGCAAACTCGCTGTGAGCTGATGGAGAACCAGATGAAGCAGTACAAGTGGGAACAGGACCAGATCGCTCACATGAAGGTGAAGATCACGTGTTTTGTATTGTCCAATTGCCTGCCAGTGCAAGCTGTAGGTAGTGTAGCCTACTACCACTCACCATGTGCTGGTCACCTGCCTGAGTCTGCACACAGGAATGGAATGCACCCTTCACATGTGTGAAATTGCATTTGACTGCCTCGTTTTCCCCGTGTGATGAAGGATAACCCCGGGGGAAATCCAACAGGTGATGGTGTTTGGGCCGGATATCGATTACATCAAGCATCTTCGCTCGTTTTACCAAGATTGCTGCCGTATTTTTATGCTCCGATTTGTTTCAACGTTGGCTGTTTTGTTGTGAAGGCGTACCCCTGCATTCGGACGTCGGTTACACCGTCATATGCACTCTGTGACCTCTGACCGGCGTTATGGGCCCTTTATGGTGCATAATCAAGCAGTTAGTACGTTCCTAAACTCAGTTAATTATCCTTCACTGTCGTGTAATATGAACATCGTTCTATTGACACGATATGTGCCCACTACCATATGACTGCCGCACTTTGGAGGCCTTATGTCGCTCGCATAAGCACAGTTCCTGGTTCCGTGCGGCACTCTGCCGCCGTGTTTCGCTTAGTTTGCAGCCAGTTCCTCCCACCCTGGCCGTAACGTTCCCATTCAAATATGGAACCTCTCGTATGGGTTGTTGAGAACCGCATTGCTCAAGTGTGGCATTTTGCGTGCATCCTGCTCTGCGTCTGACACTTTTCGTCTGATTGTGTTCCACATCCATGCCACTGTGCGTCACCACGAGCTGTGCGGCGGGTCCATTGGCGTTCCCCGGGGCACTGTGCCGGCCGGGGCTCCGGCTGCCTGTCGGAGCCCCGGCCGCACCCTGGTGGGTGTTCCCTCCAGCCCGCTCCGTGCAATGTGGCCGTTGTTCCCTGGCTGAGCGCGTCGTCATCGCACCACGCCCGCCGGCCGGCAGAACTACATCGCGCGCTTTGGCCACGGCTCGGCCAAGCTGGCGCGCCAGGCGCAGTCCAAGGAGAAGACGCTGCAGAAGATGGTCGACAAGGGTCTGACAGAGCGGGTGACCGGCGACAAGCAGCTTTCCTTCTACTTCTTCGACTGTGGCACCATCCCGCCGCCGGTCATCATGGTGCAGGTGCGGCGCCGAGCCCTGCCGGGCGCGGGCGTCGGACGCCGGCCCGTGCCCGGCAGGACACGGGAGTCTGGTGAAGCGTGGCGCGGACCCGGTCCCGGTCCCGGTCCCGGGACCACTGGTCCGCGCCGAGGCCGCTGGCCTGGGGCTGCTTCGACATTTCGGAAGCGGAGGGAGAGGGGTGTGCACGTCGTGCACGCGCGGCGAGGAACGCGGACGGGCGAGTGCTGGCGTGTGCCATGTTGTCGGCGGAGGGGATGGAGCGGAGCTCTGGACGGGTGTTGAGACTGAGAAGTTGCTCACTTCTGCAGCAGAAGAGACCTGACTGGCGTAGCTGTTCGGAGTTACATGACGGTTGACATGAGAGTCGACCGTTCAGACTTTGAGAACTTTTAGGTGGTCTGTCAGACATAAGAATGGTTGGTGGATTGTTACGAGCACTGTGCCTTCTTTGAGACAGCCGGCCGAAAGGCATTTGCTTTGCATTCTTGATGCAGCAATTGAAAAAAAAAACGCTTGATGGATGTGCAGATAAACAGCAGCGATGGCTGCCGTGTAACATAATCGCGCTTTCGTTAACGCAGAACGTGAGCTTCAAGTATGACGAGGGCCTTGACTACATCTACAAGAACCTGGAGTTTGGCATCGACCTGGACACCCGTCTGGCGCTGGTGGGACCCAACGGGGCCGGCAAGTCAACACTGCTTAAACTGCTCTATGGGGAGGTGAGCGCGGCTGAGTCAGTTACTGAATCGCAGGCAGGTGCTGAAAGATATGAGCGCGGGTGCTAGCTACCATTTGGCGCAAACATTCTGAGTGTTCATTATGGTTTGCTTCAGTTATTTTTCAGCGGGAGGGGGGGGGGGGGGGATGGCCCGGGACGGCTATGGGTCCGTGTGCTAAAGTGCGGCAGAGGGTGGCCCAGGGGTGACTATGGGTCCGTGTATTAGAGTGCGGCAGAGGGTGGCCCGGGGCGGCCATGGGTCCGTGCGTTGGAGTGCGGCGGAGGGTGGTGGTGCAGCTGACCCTCGTTTGTCTCCGCGCGTCACCAGCTGTCGCCGACCACCGGCATGATCCGGAAGAACATGCACGTGCGCATCGCGCGCTACCACCAGCACCTGCATGAGCTGCTCGACCTCAACCTGACGCCGCTCGAGTACATGCTCAAGGAGTTCCCCGAGATCAAGGAGAAGGAGGAGATGCGCAAAGTCATCGGTCGCTACGGCCTCACCGGCAAGCAGCAGGTAACGTGACGGCGGTGCCAGGCCGCGGCCAGCACCGCCGCGCGCCAGCACCGGCGCTTTGTTGGGTAACGGTGTGTGTTATTGAGGAATGTCGACAAGGTTGTGTAGAGCAGAAGCTGCACGTGTAATGTGTCTTATGATTAAATTTGCAGGGATATGGTGAACAATAAACCATTCGTGGTGTATGTGTTAAGATATGAAAATATAGTAACATATGAATTATACAAATCAATTATTGAAATATAAGGTAGGGCGTGGTATGAGCAGAGATCAGAAGTTGTTGTTGTTTTTTTTTTTTGCAAGTTTAGTGATACCAATGCAAACGTGCTTGGGCTTAACAATTGCTGCCACGTCAGTAATTGCAAAGCCAAAACACAGTCAACCTCCTGGTCGGTTGACTGCGTCAGTGTCCTCCCCCGGCTTCATTGCTGGACTTGCCGGTAAGCTGGCCGGGCTTCAGCATAAGAGGCTGGCGCTGGGTAACGCGGTGCGCCGGCGGCCGCTCCCGCCCCCGCGGCGTCCGTGTGTGGGTGTGGCCGTCGGCTGACGCGGCGGCGGCCGGCGGCGGCAGGTGTGCCCGATCCGACAGCTGTCGGACGGCCAGCGCTGCCGCGTGGTGTTCGCCTGGCTGGCCTGGCAGTCGCCGCACCTGCTCTTCCTCGACGAGCCCACCAACCACCTGGACATGGAGACGATCGACTCGCTGGCCGAGGCCATCAACAACTTCAGCGGCGGTCTGATCCTGGTCAGCCACGACTTCCGCCTCATCAGCCAGGTGGGCGCCGCCGCGTCGTCGGGCAGGCATCGGGCCGCTTCGCGACGGTCCGCTCGTGCCTCTGTCGGGCAGAGAGCGGCTGGATGCTCGGTCAGCTGAGTGTCAGGAATGATTCGTGTGGCCTGCGCAATTCCAGCGTGGGGTGCTACACGTACGACTGACAGCCATCGCCTTGTCCTGCCATGAATACGTGCGGCCTAGTTTGGATGAGGGTGAGCTAGTTCCGTTACACGCATCGTGCAGGTGTGTATTGTCCAAGGCTGCTCGTAGCCGACAGCTGTCCTTTGCGATCCAGGTGGCTGAGGAAATCTGGATCTGTGAGAAACAGGCGGTCACGAAGTGGGAGGGTGACATCATCAGCTACAAGGAGATGCTGAAGACGCAAGTGATGAAGAGGAACGCCAAGGCCAAGAAGAAGGCGGCCTGGTAACGGAGCGGCTCCTAGGCTTTTCCAATTGGCGCGTCCTCCTAGCTGGCATCCAGCCCCACTAGAGCGACGCGTTATCTGTCTTCTCCTGCGTGTGGCGCGTCCCTGACCAGGGCCGCACATGCCACCTCGACAAACACCCCGGCGCGGCGCCGCGCGCCAGCCGGCGACGCCACAGACGGAGCAGCGCCCAGCGGCGGGACCGGCGTGGCCGACGCACAGCACACAGCATACTTGTCTCCCCAGCCGCGCACGCATGACCAGACCCAGCCGACTGACAGCGCTCCGACAGGAGGCTCATCCGACTGACAGCAGAGAGCGAGCGACGCCACCGAAGCACAGCACATCAGACAGGAGGCGGCCTGCCGAGAGCACGCGAGTCGACGGACTGACGGCACGCTAGCAGGCGGCTCGCATCACACAAACACACCACCGCCGGCTGACATGACGACACGCGACGCCGCGGCACGACTGACTCGACTGACCACCGCCGGCCCACCGGCCTAGACTGCACGACACACGCACACACACACACACACACAAACACGCTGATCCGACGCGACCCGACCTCACACCATGCCCCGATCTGACCTGACGACCGTGTCCCGACCTGACCTTACGACCGTTACCCGACGTCACCGTGACTCGACTTCTCAACCGTGATTTGACCATACAACCGTGACCCGACCTCGCAACCGTGATCCGACCCCACAGCCGTGACCCGACCTGACCTCACAACAATGACCCGATTTTACAACTGTGACACGACCTGACCTTACAACCGTGACCCTACCGACTCTACCCTACCCTACAACCGTGACCCTACCGACTCCACCGTACCCCACAGCTGTGACCCTACGCACTCACAAGACACAGACGATCCGGCCGACCCTGGTCACCCAGACGTGCCGGCCACTCTGCGGAGCCCGGCCGCGCGGTCCGCGCTGCCGCCGCCGCACCGTACCGCGGGTCACACACCACCGCCGCCAGCGGCCGTGGCCGGGGCGTTGCAACGCCTCGGGCGCAGGCGGTCGGCCGCTGCGAGGTCCCGCCCGCCGCGCCGCCCCCAGTCACAGGATGACTGGCCGGCGTTACTTATGTGATGGTGCATCGTAATTCCACTGGTTTGGTCCGCGTAATCGGACTTATTTTAACTTTTTGGTTGAGACTGGTTTTACCCGGACCCTGCTGATCAAAACTAATAAATCTCCTAGTTTTATGTGCGCGTATATTTCGACGGGGGCGTGTGGCGTCGGCCAGACGCGCCCAGATTGCCGCCGTGCCACGCTGGTGTCGAATCTGATCTGGCCGGCATCCAGGCGCTGGTCGGGTGAGGCGGCCGGCCTCCAGGATCCGGCGGTGCTCGCGCGCGAGGAAGGTTCGGGAGCCGGCGTTGGTGCCGGCTCCGCGCGCGAGGAAGGCTCGGTAGCCGGTAGTCTTGCCAGCTCCGCGCACGAGGAAGGCGCGAGCCCGCGCTGGGCCAACGCGGACCGGCGCGTGGATTTTTCCTGGCGGAAGATCCCAGTTTTGCATAATTTCACGTTTCACATTTCCATGCCCATCTAGCATTCTGCATCTTTGTTATGCCGAGTAATCGCAGCGATTAGTTAAACTTATTTCCAGTGGGATGAACAGCTGGACGTCGGAACTCACGAGACAGAACGCCGTAAGGCACGTGGCGTCATTATCCAGATCCTTGCACGAAAGAGATTTAAATACAACCGCGCAACGCTTTCACCAATCGCTGCTTGCGAAAACTGATCAACCAAGCAGGGACGTCCTCGAAACTAATCGGCCCGCTACAGTGATGGTGGTGGAGTAATACCGGAAACAGAGTGTCCCACGACCGTTGGACATGGGCTCTTTCGATGGCCGATACCGGCCAATTGACCTCAAGAGGCCGTTCATAAATAACGTTACGCTTGGGGGAGGGGCATCTTGGTGGGGCGTAATGGGAGCACGTTTTGGGCGGCACAACGTTGCGCTCAGTTGTGGTTGGAAAGCATGCTATTACCACCTTAACACGCGCCCCGGCGGCCGGTTGGATGCTCTTCGCTCGGGTGGGGTTGAGGGGGGGGGGCAATTTGAAGCCCCCGAGATATCAGAAACTAAGAGAGCTGTAGACACCAAATTCACCGGGTGTGTTGGGCTGTGCGTGAACTCGCTTGGGTCGAAGTTCGAGGTTCCTATGCTATGGTCCTCGTGTCAGACGAGGTCAAACACCAGGTAAGCGTCCAAAAAGCCCCCCTAGAGCCTAGAAACCTGTTCTAGGCAAAAGGTCACATGCTCATTTAAGATCAGTGACATGACTTAAGTCCTACGAGACTGCTTTGAGTTCTGCATTTGAATAAGCGATGAAGATCAGGTGGGCAGCATATTCCTAGAACGAAATATTGACCGGGTCATTTTAGATCAGTGACCTATTCCGACCTTAGAGAAGTCCATGCGGGACGTATAATAGGCTTTCTGTTATCAATAAATCCGAGATGAGCACCAGAAACTACCCTATGCAGCAAGACCCGGAGTAATAAAACAGGCTGGTTTTGGCCTTGGTCTGACCTTCATACCTGACCCTAGGTCAATTGAATTTGATTATTCAACTAATGTGTTGTCTAAGAAGTTATCTCAGAGATGCATGGATTTGTTTAACACCACTGTAACATCAGGTTCAACGATTCCCTAGAAGTTGACTTCACTGAATCCATGGCCTGACTGACCTGCGGTAGGTCAGCGACCTTACAAGTTGCATGTAACTTTGCATATGAAATGACCCGACATTTAATTGTCTACACATAGGCCAAATTTGGCGCGGCTGCGCCGCGCCGTTCGAAAACTATTACGGAAAAACCTTTGGGCGGGATCAAATTGATCCCCACCCGAGTGCCTGTTAAAGATGGATATCCCCGGCTTCCTGTCAGCGAGTGATTCCCCCGCCCCTATTTGTTTCGCACCTCTAACTCAGTGGCCAAACGGGTTTTACTTTTGGGGATTTCCGCCTAGCTTAGTGTTAGCAGGGGGAGGTCCCCAGCCACGTGGGTTTTAGGGACAAGGTTGCTGACGCGTCGGCGAAACGGGCGCCACACGCACCATGTATGCAACCTACCTCCGCTGTTCAGAAACTTCTATCCAGCGACCACAGCGCACGTGAAAAGAAAAGGGCAGTGTTGTTGGGATGTTGAGGAAAATAACAAGCGAAAGGCAATCAAGCCACAGTTGGGGCTTTGGCCATCCAACTCACGTTTGGTGAGGCGCGAGGAGGTTATTATGTGCCGCCTGCGAACCGACCACACACATGCAACATCCGGATATCTATTGTGTTGTGGAAACAGACCCCAATTCCCCCCACATGCGGTGCGTCAACGGCTGCTCGCTCCATACTCTACTCTTGCCTACATTTCATGGAAGAGCGTTTGCATCTCTTTGGACAATAATCTCGGGCTCTAATCTATCCAAATCCTGGGGAGCGACTCTTCTTTGTTGGACTCGAGTCAGATGTTTTCATTTCTTACAGACGTCAAGTTTTCAGCAATTCGTAATCCCTGCTAGTTTTTAGGCATCGCACGTGAATAGATACGGTTGCAAAAGGACCTTCGGCGCCGGCACCTAAATCTCCAATCATCATCAACCGGGAGGGGTTGGTCGTCCAGCGCAAAAGGCGTGTAATCATGGGGAAGGTTGAAAATGGTAAAACCTGCATGGCGTCATTTATGGGCAGCCTCAAGCACGCAAACATCCCATGTAGGTAAGGCACGTGCAGGCCCGTGAGATAACATTGCGGTTCATAGTCCAGGAAGGATTGTGCATACCAAAAGCCGGCCCGACGCCCAAGTGGTGCTCGATGTGAATTTACTAGGGCATCCGCGCCAGACAAAGCTCACCCGTCGCATGATTTGGCAGTTTGAACACCCACTGACTTTTAACAAGCACTTCAGGGACGGGTTCGTCGAATCCCACATACGCTGCGATTAGATCGGTTGCGATCGGCGCCTGGGAGCGCATTGGCTGATGGAGCCATTTCGCAGATGTCCCCGTATCAGTTACGTCGGACGCCCATCGGGTTATTAGATGTTCTGCCGGCGTGGGCAATGGTAGCCGCACCCCGCCATGCAGCTTTGCCAAGGTTGGTTGCACCATGTTCGTTTAAATAAGATTGATGTGGTGGACGGATAGAAGTAATTGCTGCAAGCGTAGGTGTCATAAACACGTATCAAACTAACAATTGGGCGCGTTTGACTTATCTCCATCTCTGATATCCTGACCCCTCACCTTCCGATACAATCATGTGTGACATCACTGACGCAAGCTTTTATTTATGAAACAAGCTTGTATCATGTCACAATTGGCAACCAGGTCGTAGATAGCTTCCCAGGATTGATGGATTGTTTGCTGACGTTGTTTTTGGCATCGTCCAAGCATGCTTAGTATTTGAGACAACCAGGAGTGTCTATGACGGGCTAGTTTTACCCTCATTTCTGAAGTGGACAGTCAGGGGCCATGTTGATAAATGTTCAGCAAAACGTATCTGGTGCTGTTTGGCAAGGTTTTCCAATGCCGTTTCTCTGTGAATTTAACTTGCGTAGTTGTTTAGACCTCAGCGGGTCTCTTAGAGTCCCTTTGTTTGGGAAAGGGTGAAGAGGCTTCTGAAGGGCAGTAGTTGACGATCTTTTTGACCAGCATAAGTTAGCGGAACATTCTAAACCTAGACATTTCCCTGGCATGTATGGCTATCAGTTTGGTACGAAGAGAGAAGTGTTGCGCCGCGTCCTTCGCATGCTCTGGGCAGATGACATGTGTGCTGATCGCGAAGTCTTTGGAAAGAGTTTGGACCTCCTTGGACCTCCTGGAAAGTCTTGGACCTCTATCGAAATAGCCATGACATTCTTGGCCGAAATGTAGTAGAAATAATGTAATGCAATGGAAATACTCAAGTTACTTCATCCCGTCACCGGCAAGAGGGTGCCGGTGGTGTAGAGGTTAGCCTGCGCGTTTGGAAAACCAGAGGCATGAGGTTTGTTTTCCCGTCGTGCCCGCCCTTCCTGCCAGGGTGAGTGGCAGGGCACGAATAAGTCGTAAAGCCCCAGCGATAATGATGATGGCGATATGCTGTTATGCGCTAATTGGTCGACGTGACCTTTGATCTCACCTTTCAGGATGTCGCCCGACTGGAAGTAAATGTAGCAGATTGTTGTAGAAGGTATAAGGAATCGAGTCCGGAAAAGTCGAACAGCTTAAGAGCACTCAAACATCTATCATTGCAAAATAAAACCCCTAGCAAAAGTCAAACATGAATTACAGGGTTGGCCATTGGCCACTTTGTCTTGTTTTGCTACGGACGAAGTGGGCTATTTTGGGGTTTCCTGGATTATTTACAGCACTCAAACAACCTTGTAGACTGGTTCTCAAAATAGCGAGAGGTTAACTGTGACTTCGAAGATTGCAGTCCGAGTGGCTCGGACATTTGCATGCGAAACCGTTGTAACTACACCAATTAGGGGATCTGTGCATCGTTAGCTACTAAAATATTGCGGGCCGGGTGCTGGCGGGATTCCTGCGACCATGAATAATGACCGAAGTTGGGCTGTCGTCGCCCGCAGTGGAGGCTCATCTGCAGAGCAGCTGAGACCTCGCGGCGGAATCGGACTACTCAGAATGAAGCTCATACAGCTGAGCATAAATCTACGGAATGTCCGCATGCCCTCCATCGCGATGCTAGGCAACCGTGTGAGTAAATTGTGAAGGCCAGTATATTAACTTTAGGCTATATTCCGTCCGTTTTCATGACCTCTTAAATCGTAAGCAGGCCGTCCAAATGTGACTCTCTGACATGTGCACGCTGCTACTGCGAATCATTTCGTTATGACTGTCGCCTTCAGTGTAACGCACGTAAGTAACAAGCAATTTCTCTCAGCCGACTGGGAGCGGCTTTGAGGCAACGCCAATAAACGGCCGCGTTTCCCACGCCTCGGTGCGCGACAAAGATGTTTCTTTTCTGAGAATGGAACCTGCCAAAACTACGGCGTGTCATGCAATGAGTGAGCGAATCTGCAGCGCGGACTTCATTCAGATTGGGTGAGCCTTTCGTCGTAGAGCAGAAGTTAGTTCCAAAATGAACGGGACCACGGTCACCATCAAAGAGCACCGTTAACTGCGCTCGGGCTGGCATTCAGCGCGGTCCCTGCACCGGGAACACCAATTATAGTCGTTTCCACGAGCGCCTAC